TTCTTCTGCTGCCTGCCTCGACTCGGACTGTTATATCGACCTCTGATTCTTCTGCTGCCTGCCTCGACTCTGACTGTTATATCGACCTCTGATTCTTCTGCTGCCTGCCTCGACTCGGACTGTTATATCGACCTCTGATTCTTCTGCTGCCTGCCTCGACTCGGACTGTTATATCGACCTCTGATTCTTCTGCTGCCTGCCTCGACCCGGACTGTTATATATCGACCTCTGATTCTTCTGCTGCCTGCCTCGACTCGGACTGTTATATCGACCTCTGATTCTTCTGCTGCCTGCCTCGACTCGGACTGTTATATCGACCTCTGATTCTTCTGCTGCCTGCCTCGACTCGGACTGTTATATCGACCTCTGATTCTTCTGCTGCCTGCCTCGACTCGGACTGTTATTATGCAATGCAACATATTGATAGTATTATTAATAATAATAGTATCAATATGTTGCATAACTACATTCCTGTAATAATTTATTATAGACATTCAACTGCAAATTAATGTACAATCATTCTATTGATTGTTGTAAACAAAAATCCCCCTTCCGTGTTGATACAACTGCTTTCACTAACTTGCACTGGTGTAGACGACAGAGGACGCAGAGGTAGGCAATCAGCAGGAGGATTGCAAGTAACCGCAGGAACTTTGATATTAACATTTTTTATAAGGCTATACCCTTCTTGTTTTGAACTTCATGCATGTGTATTGAATGTTAGACAAGTTCATAATGATAACGAGACTGTTTATCGTGGTGATGTGTAGCCTACAGAGGCTTCGCACAGACAGTGAATGAAACAGATCGGCAGAGCGCGTGCGATTACCTGCGTCTGTCTTTGAAGTCATATGTATTCATGGAAGCTTGCCGTGCCGTGTCAAAGGAATGCAAAATAGTTGTCGAATCATCCTTTTAACGTTCACGTTACGGGTATTTACCATAAATGCGCGTCAGCAGCAGCGCTGATCAGCATCCCACAGCACTAGGAAGCCACGGGGAAATAAAATCAGTGAGTCACGCATTGAATCAATGCCATTTGCCCATGCGACGCATTGCTGCTCAGCTGAGCCTTAAGTGGAACTCAAAGTTCAAAATAATTAACACCTTGAAGTTGTTTCATTACATCTATTTTAATGAATCTAATAACTATTTTAATGAAATTAAAATGAATTTAATGAATATTTTTTGAACGTGTTCGTTGAATGAATGGTTTAATGAAATAAAGTCCATTGTCGTAACAATTGGTGAATCGATTTTTTCAACACAGCACTAGTTATATCGACCTCTGATTCTTCTGCTGCCTGCCTCGACTCGGACTGTTATATCGACCTCTGATTTTTCTGCTGCCTGCCTGCAAGGATGTTTGCCAATTGGTCACCGCAACTAATTCTAGAATCAACCAAAGTCTTAATATCTAGTGGCCCTTTCATGGCTTCGTCGTGCACAAAGCAGACATATAAAACATGTGAGGAGGAGAAGGCTGACATGCAGATCTTGTCTATAAAGTCAAATAAATCCAAAACACATTACATTATAAACATCAACGTACCATTTCCTTTCCAGTGCATATTGGTTCTACAGCTTATCCACAATAAAGCAGCAGCTGACACATACCCAAAGCAACAGCTTTTCCTCAAACCCTAACCCTAACATGACGGTCCTCGTAGTGGAGAACTGTCCTTACATTTCAGGTCAGTGTCATGCCCATCCCCCAACACACGAGTTATGAAAATGTATGAACCGAGCAAGGTACATTTTACTCGAATTTGAGACGTCACAACAGCGTCTTTAAGACGACAGTCCGCGTCAGCCAGTCGAGTATGATGCCCAACCATCCTACACTTAAAGGGTTAGTTCACCCAAAAATGAAATTTCAGTCTGTATTTACTCACCCTCATGTTGTTCCAAACCTCTATGTGTTTATTTGTTCTGCTGAACAAAAAGGAAGATATTTGGAAGAATGTTTTAATCAAACAGATCTCATTCCCCATTGACTACCATAGTAGGAAAAAATACATACAATGGTAGTCAATGGGGAATGAGATCTGTTTGATTAAAACATTCTTCCAAATATCAGCAGAACAAATAAACACATATAGGTTTGGAACAACATGAGGGTGAGTAAATACAGACTGAAATTTCATTTTTGTGTGAACTAACCCTTTAACATTGCCTGTGTCAAAGAGAAGAAAACAATGAAGGAACATCCGTTCACTTACTTTCTGTTTCACTGATGAGGAAGGATTCACACTGCATTCAGTCACAGCCACTGATGTCTCGTCACACAATTCCTGTAATTATGAGAAAGACAGGTACAACACTGAGGCAAGGATGTTTGCTAATTGGTCACCGCAACTAATTCTAGAATCAACCAAAGTCTTAATATCTAGTGGCCCTTTCATGGCTTCGTCGTGCACAAAGCAGACATATAAAACATGTGAGGAGGAGAAGGCTGACACACAGATCTTGTCTATAAAGTCAGATAACATTATAAACATCAACATATCATTTCCTTTCCAGTGCATATTGGTTCTACAGCTTATCCACAATAAAGCAGCAGCTGACACATACCCAAAGCAACAGCTTTTCCTCAAACCCTAACCCTGACATGACTGTCCTCGTAGTGGAGAACTGTCCTTACATTTCAGGTCAGTGTCATGCCCATCCCCAACACACGAGTTATGAAAATGTATGAACTGAGCAAGGTACATTTTACTCGAATTTGAGACGTCACAACAGCGTCTTTAAGACGACAGTCCACGTCAACCAGTCGAGTATGATGCCCAACCATCCTACACTTAACATTGCCTGTGTCAATGAGAAGAAAACAATGAAGGAACATCCGTTCACTTACTTTCTGTTTCACTGATGAGGAAGGATTCACACTGCATTCAGTCACAGCCACTGATGTCTCGTCACACAATTAATGTAATTATGAGAAAGACAGGTACAACACTGAGGCAAGGATGTTTGCTAATTGGTCACTGCAACTAATTCTAGAATCAACCAAAGTCTTAGGCTGAATCCCAATTATCCGTCTTACCCTTTCCCCTTCCCCCTACCCCTCAGCCCTTCCCCTCACCCCTCACTCCTACACCCCACCCCACCCCTTACCCTCACCCCTACCCCCACCCCCACCCCTTACCCCTTCCCCTCACCCCTACCCCCCTCAGTTTTGCACGTTCACGTGAGAGGAAGCGCCATCCCAATTTTCATTTTGATCTAGGGGTAAGGGGAAGGGGTATATACCACTTAAGACCAAGAATTTTCATGAGCTTACTTGAAACCAAGGGTAAGAAATGCACTGCGCAACTGGCAACGATGGCATTGCCTCTCCTTCACTCTGGATGGCATACCATCCAGAGTGTCCCATAAATTGAAGTTTTTTTACTTACATGATTGATAAAAAAAAATATGACAGTCTTGTTTTGTGCTCTACACAGTTATGTACATATAGGCTATATTTGCAACTATGTTGTTTATTGAAACGTTTTTAAAAATCGCTACTTTGCTACGCTGGGCTATGCTAACGTTACATTGCTGATTTGCACAATCAGTCCCACATTTCAAGATCACCCAAAATTTACGGTATTCAGCTTTGGCTTTCTACAGTCGCCATTCATTATGTGTACATTATTTGACACTGACACGTACGTGATCAGCTTCTCAGATGATGCATTCAGCTTCAAACGGATCCCGACTGAGACGAAAACACGGGAATATTAGATAAACAATCCATTCAGATTCACAGATTTAAATGAATGAATTCAGTCCGATTGAAACAACACCTTGTGCATGTAAACATAATGAATAGTGAAGGCAGAAAGCAAAAGCCGAATCCCGGACATTTTCAGCGATCCCGAAATCCGGGTGACATGTCCGGGAAAAGGAGGACGTTGTATGGTCACCCTGGAGACATCAATACGTGCTTTAAATATACTGTCCTGTATTTGTTGCTGACAATCGCAAATAAATCTCCAGTACCAACGCAATCGACATAAGCATACTTGCAGACGGCATCTTAAAAGTTACGAGAAGTTTGTGATCAACACTTTTCACCCCTGGTGATAGACGCCAAGGACGATGTAAGATGACGTAACCGAGTGGTGTCTCATTTCATAGGGGTATGTTTGCACTAGCGCTTACCACTCGATTTCGAGGGACAAGGCCTAAGGGTAAGACGAAGGGGAAGGGGTAAGACAGAGAATTGGGATTCAGCCTTAATATCTAGTGGCCCTTTCATGGCTCCGTCGTGCACAAAGCAGACATATAAAACATGTGAAGAGAAGGCTGATACATGCAGATCTGGTCTATAAAGTCAAATAAATCCAATACACATTACATTATAAACATCAACATACCATTTCCTTTCCAGTGCATATTGGGTCTACATCTTATCCACAATAAAGCAGCAGCTGACACATACCCAAAGCAACATCTTTTCCTCAAACCCTAACCCTGACATGACGGTCCTCATAGTGGAGAACTGTCCTTACATTTCAGGTCAGTGTCATGCCCATCCCCCAACACACGAGTTATGAAAATGTATGAACTGAGCAAGGTACATTTTACTCGAATTTGAGACGTCACAACAGCGTCTTTAAGACGACAGTCCACGTCAACCAGTCGAGTATGATGCCCAACCATCCTACACTTAAAGGGTTAGTTCACCCAAAAATGAAATTTCAGTCAGTATTTACTCACCCTCAGGTTGTTCCAAACCTCTATGTGTTTATTTGTTCTGCTGAACACAAAGGAAGATATTTGGAAGAATGTTTTAATCAAACAGATCTCATTCCCCATTGACTACCATAGTAGGAAAAAATACATATACAAATATCTTCCTTTGTGTTCAGCAGAACAAATAAACACATAGAGGTTTGGAACAACATGAGGGTGAGTAAATACTGACAGAATTTTCATTTTTAGGTGAACTAACCCTTTAACATTGCCTGTGTCAAAGAGAAGAAAACAATGAAGGAACATCCGTTCACTTACTTTCTGTTTCACTGATGAGGAAGGATTCACACTGCATTCAGTCACAGCCACTGATGTCTCGTCACACAATTCCTGTAATTATGAGAAAGACAGGTACAACACTGAGGCAAGGATGTTTGCTAATTGGTCACCGCAACTAATTCTAGAATCAACCAAAGTCTTAATATCTAGTGGCCCTTTCATGGCTTCGTCGTGCACAAAGCAGACATATAAAACATGTGAGGAGGACACGGCTGACATGCAGATCTTGTCTATAAAGTGAGAATAACATTATGAACATCAACATACCATTTCCTTTCCAGTGCATATTGGTTCTACAGCTTATCCACAATAAAGCAGCAGCTGACACATACCCAAAGCAACAGCTTTTCCTCAAACCCTAACCCTGACATGACGGTCCTCGTAGTGGAGAACTGTCCTTACATTTCAGGTCAGTGTCATGCCCATCCCCCAACACACGAGTTATGAAATGTATGAACCGAGCAAGGTACATTTTACTCGAATTTGAGACGTCACAACAGCGTCTTTAAGACGACAGTCCGCGTCAGCCAGTCGAGTATGATGCCCAACCATCCTACACTTAAAGGGTTAGTTCACCCAAAAATGAAATTTCAGTCTGTATTTACTCACCTCATGTTGTTCTAAACCTCTATGTGTTTATTTGTTCTGCTGAACAAAAAGGAAGATATTTGGAAGAATGTTTTAATCAAACAGATCTCATTCCCCATTGACTACCATAGTAGAAAAAATACATACAATGGTAGTCAATGGGGAATGAGATCTGTTTGATTAAAACATTCTTCCAAATATCAGCAGAACAAATAAACACATATAGTTTGGAACAACATGAGGGTGAGTAAATACAGACTGAAATTTCATTTTGTGTGAACTAACCCTTTAACATTGCCTGTGTCAAAGAGAAGAAAAAACAATGAAGGAACATCCGTTGCACTTACTTTCTGTTTCACTGATGAGGAAGGATTCACACTGCATTCAGTCACAGCCACTGATGTCTCGTCACACAATTCCTGTATTATGAGAAAGACAGGTACAACACTGAGGCAAGGATGTTTGCTAATTGGTCACCGCAACTAATTCTAGAATCAACCAAAGTCTTAAATTCTAGTGGCCCTTTCATGGCTTTTCGTCGTGCACAAAGCAGACATATAAAACGTGAGGAGGAGAAGGCTGACATGCAGATCTTGTCTATAAAGTCAAATAAATCCCAAAACACATTACATTATAAACATCAACATACCATTTCCTTTCCAGTGCATATTGGTTCTACATCTTATCCACAATAAAGCAGCAGCTGACACATACCCAAAGCAACAGCTTTTCCTCAAACCCTAACCCTAACATGACGGTCCTCGTAGTGGAGAACTGTCCTTACATTTCAGGTCAGTGTCATGCCCATCCCCCAACACACGAGTTATGAAAATGTATGAACCGAGCAAGGTACATTTTACTCGGAATTTGAGACGTCACAACAGCGTCTATTAAGACGACAGTCCACGTCAACCAGTCGAGTATGATGCCCAACCATCCTACACTTAACATTGCCTGTGTCAATGAGAAGAAAACAATGAAGGGAACATCCGTTCACTTACTTTCTGTTTCACTGATGAGAAGGATTCACACTGCATTCAGTCACAGCCACTGATGTCTCGTCACAACAATTAATGTAATTATGAGAAAGACAGGTACAACACTGAGGCAAGGATGTTTGCTAATTGTCACTGCAACTAATTCTAGAATCAACAAAGTCTTAGGCTGAATCCCAATTATCCGTCTTACCTTTCACCTTCCCCTACCCCTCAGCCCTTCCCCTCACCCTCACTCCTACACCCCACCCCCACCCCTTACCCT